CTTCCCTACCCCCTCTCCAGAGCCTCCAAGAAGGCCTCTGGCCTGGCCTGGTGCCCACTCCCCAGCAGAAGGAACAGGCACCACCAAAGCCTCTCCCCCTGATCCTTTCTTGGCAGGACAGCAGGTGCATCCTTACTAGTCACTGCTAACTCAGCTTTGCCTGGGGAACTACTGTTTATGGGGTCATGCAGAGCCCTGGGTTAAGGAATTATTCTTCCTGCCTCTGGCAGTTTTCTCACTGCAATTGAGGGAATCAGAATAGATAAATGTTAAGTTCTTCTCTAGTTCTAAAATTCTAGTTTAAAAATTGCCAGATTAATACTTACCTTGGGGATCCTTCTGGCACTTTTCTATAAGAATAAATCTGTTTTGGAAAAAAACAGGATCGTGATTATCCATCACAGTGACCACTATCTCCAAATCTTTATTCATTCCTTTTATTTATCTGAAGTCTTATCTACCTGGTGAGATAACTTTTTGGGGAGCAGGAACTCTATCCTGTTAAATAGTTCTTTCATTCCTCTACAGTACCTAGCTTAGGGTCTTGCAGGCAGTAGGAAAAAAAGGAAACATCTGTAACTTGATAAAAATATCTCCCAGAAACCTAAACAACAGCATGGTTTTAAAGTCAAGAACAAGAGGATGACACCTATTAGGACAGCTACCATTCATCATTGTTGATTTGAGGTCCCAATAAATGCAATAAGAAAAGTAAACGGGGTATAAGGATTGGAAAGGAAGAGATAAAACTATCATTATTTGCATATGAAATTATGAAAAATGTAAAAATCCCAAGAGAAACAAGTAAATCTTTATTGGAAGTAACAGAATTCAGTAAGGTGGCTCGGTGCAAAATCAAGCGATCAGTACACAAACCTCAATAGCTTTCCTATGTACCCCCAATGATTAATTAGGAAATGGAAGAACGATCCCATTTACAGCAGCAATAAAAGTGTAAAACACCTAGGAATAAACTTTTAAAAAGATGTGTAAGATCTGTGTGATGAAAACACAAACTCTTCTCAATGAAAAAGATGTGTAAGATCTGTGTGATGAAAACACAAACTCTTCTCAATGATGTTAAGAACATATAAATACGTGGCATGAGATACCATGGTCCTAGAATGTTGTAAAGATGTCAATTCTCAAACTAATCTACAAATTCAATGTAATCCTATTCAAATCCTGAGACAGTTTTTTACAAAATTTGTGCAGCTGGCATTTGGTAGTGAAAATGGGCAAGAATAGCTATGAAATGTATGAAAAGACCAAAGAGCACGAGCTTGCCCTACCAAACATATACCTCAAAATGTTATAAAGCAACTGGAATTATGTAGTGTGATCCTGGTACTGGCACAGGAAAAGACAACTGGATCAAAGAAGAGAGGAGTCCAGGTAAAGATGGTGTTTTACATCACTAAAGAAAGAATGGACCGTACAATAAAAACTGCCTTAAAGCAACTGAATATTCATGAAGGGACAATTAAGTTAGACTCTCTACCTAAAACCACACTAGAAGCCAAGAAATTAAACAAATTCCAGATGGATTGAAAAATATAAATAATATAATGCTAGAAAAGTACAAAAAGAAATTATCAGAGACTGTTCCGTCAAGTGACAAAGGCCTCTAATAAGACTCGCACCTCGTAAGCCACAGGCTAGGGCCGCAGATGCAACAGCACAG